TGGGGGGGGGGCAGGTAAAGGAGGCAGGATCGCAGCCCTGTCATTTTTTTTTCTGGGGATCTAATTGAATTTTTGTCCTTCTCAAGTGGCAGGCGCTGATAATACTGTGCAGCTGCGTTAGTTTAAAATATTCTCTCTCTCTCCCTCTCTTTTTTTAGTCACGATTTCCCAAGATAAATGAATGCGCATTTGATGTCTGTGTAAGATCTGGCCCACTCTGGCTTGTGTAATTCAATCCTGTTGATGTCATGCGGGCGCTAGATGTTGGGCGAAAATGGGGGCAAAAGATTTTGAACGGCTTTTGGTGGGTTTAAGAGGCAGGAGGGGCATTTTATTACCGGCCCCGAACAATATGTAAGCTCCAGCATTAAGCTCCTGCTCTGATGAAACCCATCACTTGGTGGAAAAGGGGAAATCTCTCTCTTGTGAAGGCCAAAAAACCAGGAAAAGCCTACCACTCAGACTTGTTCCGATTTTATGATCCGGAGTTCGGCAAGCCGCAAACTTTTCGATTAGACACGTGGATCAAATGCCATCTCCAGGGCAGGGCGTTGCGGAAGATACACTTGAATCAGCTTCCTAGTTTTGAAAGGATCGGGCTAGCAGCGTAAGCACAAATGTATCAACTTGCTACTTATTAAATACAACTCGTAATGATGCGGCATTATCAACAAGGGACACTTGATTGATTGATCTAGGGATGATATATACGCTGTACATCTAAATTAAATATTAAGTGAAATACTTAGCTCTAATTAGATATTGTAACCCAGCAATAGAAACTTGTAGAAATAAAATTACAGGAAAAAAAAAACCCAGCCTAGAAAATGGTACACCGATGCAAGTAGCATGTTTAACCGTCATGTGTACAGATGCTGACATATTAACAACAACCAGCAACTTTGAAATGATTGACGTGTCATTAAGCCATCAGGCTGATTTTAATAATTCTGTCAAAAACACGGAACATGGTAGGCAACTTTATTTATTTATTTATTTGCATGAGAAGCCGGTGAAAATATAATTAGGGAGGGCGGGGAGGGGGGACGCTAGGTTTCCTAGTTGCCTTTCCTTGGTTAAGGATTTAACCAACGGGGGGAAAAAACAGCCATAAAAAACCCAATCCTTCCTTGGAGATAAGGTTTTCGGAGAGGGCTGGATCCCTTCTTACGCGATTGTGCCTTTAAAAGGTAAA